CGGACGCTAAGCCCCTGCCCCGCCACCCACGGCACCTCCACAGCTCTGGCTGCAACCGCCGCCCCGCGCCCCATGCGTCCAGTCGTTGGGCCCAGCACTAGCATGGGCAGCCGCTGGCCACTGAGGGCCTCCATATGAATGAAAAGCTGACGCCCGGGGTCCCGACTGCCCCATCCCTGCCCAGGCAGTCAGGTAGCTGAGGTGAGTGCCCAGAGCTCCGTCCCCCGAGCCTGGTGCGCTTCCACACGCCCCATCTCTGCCATGCTGGGAGGGCATCACGGCACCGGCTACCCAGGTGAAGGCTACCAGGAGCGGTGGGGACAGCACTTGCTCCAGAGTCATCCAGGGCGCGTGCACCCACCCCTCTCCCAAAGGGCACAGGCCGATGGGAGCCTCCCCGTCAGGGCACCCTTGTGGCGGGTTCTGAAGCCAAGAGCAGGCAGAGGCAGGCGAGAGGGAAGCACAGCAGCGCGGAGGGGCAGGACAGGCGGCGTGGGGGCTGTAGGTCGACGCTCGGCCCGGCCAGAGCGCACGGGCACAGGTGGGACAGCCTGGCCCCAAGGGAACGCTCGGCAAGTGGGCGGCCCTGCTGTCGGGCCTCCGCATGGTTCCTCGGGGCCAGCGCGGCCTGGCGGGCCTCTTACCTCTGGGCTCCTCCGCCTGCTTGGCGAGCTTGCGCAGCGCGGCCGCAAAGCTGGAGGACGGGGCGGCCGGGGCCGACAGCGCGCTGCTGACAGCGGGGCTGCCGCTGGGCACCAGGGCGCCATTGAGCGGCGAGGGGGTGAGGGGGCTGACGGTGGCGGTGGTCCTGGTCGCGGTGGATAGCATCCCTAGTGAGGGGGACTTGGGCTCATGGCTCATGCCTGAAACAGGAAAAGAAGAACCAGAGTCACCAGAGAGCAGGAGCACCCAGCACAGAGCGGCGCAGGGCGGCCATGCAGACGGCGAGGGCAGGAGCACCCAGCAGAGCGGAGCGGGGCGGCCATGCAGGTGGCGAGGGGAGGAACACCCAGCACAGAGTGGCGTGGGTCGGCCATGCAGGCGGCGAGGGCTGGAGCACCCAGCACAGAGCTGCGCGGGGCGGAGATGCAGACGGCGAGGGCAGGAGCACCCAGCAGAACGGCGCGGGACAGCCATGCAGGCGGCGAGGGGAGGAGCACCCAGCACAGAGCGGTGCGGGGTGGCCATGCAGACGGCGAGGGCCGGAGCACCCAGCAGAGCGGCGCGGGGCGGCCATGCAGGCGGTGAGGGCAGGACAGACTGGTGCTGCAAAGACCACCTGGGCCCACGAGCACATGGCGCGGGCCCAGGTGCAGGGCAGGGTCATGGCTGCACAGGGGAATGCTGGGGGAGGCTTGGGGCAGGCACAGGGAGGCTGACCCTGTCGCTGTCCCTGTATTCCAAGTGTGGGCGTGGCCCGGTCATGGCGCAGCCCCTGCAGACCAGGCTGGACCCTGAGCCGCAGCCCCAAATTCCAAGAGCCAGGCCCCAGGCCTGCCAGCCCTCCCCTGCAGGTTATGGGCATAGTGGGCCCCTTGAGGATGGCGAGTTGAAGGAAGCTAAGGGCAGCAGGCTCCCTGGTACCTGCCCCCACAGCTGGCAGGTATGGGGAGTGGCACCCACAGCCCGAGACCCAGTCTCACTTCTGAGGGCTACTTCCCAGAGCTTCCCTCAGGGGCCGGAAGTGGCCAGCCCTGCCCAGCTCCCTCTGGGACCTCAGAGTTAGGTTCCCTCCCCAGGTCTGGGTGTCCCCATCAGTAATGTGGGGACTACGGCAGTCGCCCTCTGGTGGTCAGTCCTGCGAGGATGGGGCCCCATCTACGTGAGGGGTTCCAGGGCCTGCCGGACACACACCGGGCTACCTCGCTACCAGACGCAGCCAACTGGGCACACGGGTCCTGGCAGGTGGGCACAGGGCGTCCAGGCCATGCTGCCTCGGCATGCCAGGACCCACGCTGCTGGGGCTGTCCCACCCACCTGGGGTACCACAGCTCACGTGCAGGCCAACCCAGAGACCCACTTTTTACATGTTTTTAAAGAGAGATTTTTTGCTAGGGCACGTGCACGCGCCAGAGACAGGAAGTGAGAAATCACCCCCTGGGAGGGCCATGCCACATCCCTTCTCCTCCCGGGATTCTGGGGATGCACACACGTGTGCCTGGCATGTTTCTAAGTTGACATGTCTGGGACTCAAACCATGGTCGACAACGTGGGAGTCCAGTGAGGTGACCATTATGCCATCTGCTGGTCCCCAGAAACCCACTCCTAATGAGAACTCGGTGTGACTTTCTCCTCGCTCTCTCCCCAGAGGAGTAAGGTGAGCCACCATGTCAGGAGAGTGACCAAGCAACAGCCCGCAGCTGTGGGGACACCACCTAGGTGGCGGGTCCTCCAGCCTGGGTCTGACCTTCAGACATCAAACCACAGGAGCCACCCGGCTAAGTCACTTGCAAATGTCCACCCACAGAAACCCTGAGGCAGTGAAGGCCTGGCCTTTAGGTCACTGCAGTTAGGATGTTTGTTACGTGGCAGTGGCTGACACGAGTGGTACCACGTGCTCAGCTTGAGGCTCCCCGAGGCCCAAGAAGTGCAGGTGCTAGTCAGTCCTGTGCCCGCACCCCAGCACGGAGCTCAGGGCGACGGTGAAGGTCCCAGGCCCACACCCCAGGGCCAGAGAAGGTGGCCGACCCCATTGTGGGCTGGCGGAGACAGGGCCCATCACGGCACTCACAACCTAGCAGGCGGCCCGTCCAAAGGAGCAGGAACAGTTCCTTCTCGGGTCTCCCAACTCCCTGTCGATGGGGTCTTTGCTGTGGTGAGCCAGGTGCCGGGGGCCCTCAGAGCAGCTGGGGGGCCCAGGAGCCCTGAGGGACCCTTGCCCGCAGCACCCTGCCCCTCCCTGGAAACCAGGGCTTAGAGGGCAGAGCCACTTCTGTCCCCTCCTCCCTCCCTGGGTCCACGCCACCTCCACCTCGGCGTCACTGTCACTCTACGTCCAGATAGGAGTCCCCACAGGTCAGCAGGTTCGGCACCCACTCGCCCGCCCCGC